GTATGATGACTAAAACATTATTATGATGCTTAGAAGATATTTAGAAGCATTTTGTGAAGAGACGAAGACTGAGCTGTGCGGCCGGGTCGTCGACCTCGAGCAGCAGTTGGCTTCTCTACGTAGAACCCGGGAGTAGGAGATTCAGAATCGAATCTCTTCTCCCTTCCCCCTCCTGTTTTTCAGCTTTGTGAAGAACCTTAACATCAAAGAAAATGGCCAGCAATGTTACCAACAAGACAGATCCTCGCTCCATGAACTCCCGTGTATTCATTGGGAATCTCAATACTCTTGTGGTCAAGAAATCTGATGTGGAGGCGATCTTTTCAAAATACGGCAAAATTGTGGGTTGCTCTGTTCATAAGGGCTTTGCCTTTGTTCAGTATGTTAATGAGAGAAATGCCCGTGCTGCTGTGGCAGGAGAGGATGGCAGAATGATTGCTGGCCAGGTTTTAGATATTAATCTGGCTGCAGAGCCAAAAGTGAACCGAGGAAAAGCAGGTGTGAAACGATCTGCAGCGGAGATGTACGGGTCAGTACCAGAACACCCTTCTCCGTCCCCTCTACTCAGCTCCTCTTTTGACTTGGACTATGACTTTCAACGAGATTATTATGACAGGATGTATAGTTACCCAGCACGTGTTCCTCCTCCTCCTCCTATTGCTCGGGCTGTAGTTCCTTCAAAACGCCAGCGTGTATCAGGAAACACCTCACGAAGAGGCAAAAGTGGCTTCAATTCTAAGAGTGGACAGCGAGGATCTTCTTCCAAGTCTGGAAAGTTGAAAGGTGATGACCTTCAGACCATTAAGAAGGAGTTGACCCAGATAAAACAAAAAGTGGATTCTCTACTGGAAAGCCTGGAAAAAATTGAGAAAGAACAGAGCAAACAAGGAGGTAAATGGCCTTGCAGCTTGTTGGGTGTAAATTTGGGTTAGTTACCGAAGATAGTTGAAGGTACATGTTGGAATAGTGGGGTATAAAGCAATTGAATATGAAACTTGGGGAATTTGAATTGGGAAGGGCATTTGTGTGGGAGGATTTAGATTTGTGCTGCAGTTCTGTGATCATTAATGGGGATTGTCTACATCCTGTGGACATTACTTGCCCCTAGACAGACTTGTCCTTCTCATCCCCAGTAGAGATGAAGAATGATAAGTCAGAAGAGGAGCAGAGCAGCAGCTCCCTGAAGAAAGATGAGACTAATGTGAAGATGGAGTCTGAGGGGGGTGCAGATGACTCTGCTGAGGAGGGGGACCTACTGGATGATGATGATAATGAAGATCGGGGGGATGACCAGGTGAAAACCACGGGAAAGGAAAGAAAGAGGTGGTGGAGGGGGGAGCAGGGACACATGGAGTGCCTCTAACTCCATCCTATTTGTGTCTGTTTCTCACAGCTGGAGTTGATCAAGGATGATGAAAAAGAGGCTGAGGAAGGAGAGGATGACAGAGACAGCGCCAATGGCGAGGATGACTCTTAAGCACATAGTGGGGTTTAGAAATCTTGTCCCATTATTTCTTTACCTAGGCGCTTGTCTAAGATCAAAATTTTCACCAGATCCTCTCCCCTAGTATCTTCTTCAGCACATGCTCACTGTTCTCCCCATCCTTGTCCTTCCCATGTTCATTAATTCATATTGCCCTGCGCCTAGTCCCATTTTCACTTCCTTTGATGCTCCTAGTAGTTATGTTAAGTCTTACCCTGTAATTTTTGCTTTTAATTTTGATACCTCTTTATGACTTAACAATAAAAAGGACGTGTGGTTTTTATCAACTGTCTCCAAAATAATCTCTTGGTAAAAAAAGAAGATATTTAGAAGATAATTGTTAATGTGAGTTATTTTACTTTCT